TTTGTCTCTTTTTTCAGGTTGTACACAGACATTCCCCTTCAACCAGTTACACCAGAGTAAAGGTGTTTTTAAGAAACATGTTATATAGTTAGCAGGAAACTGGCTTCATCTCAAGTGTTTGGATATCCCTGTAACATGTGGAAATATTTAAGAGGCTTTCTGATAGTTGTAAAACTTTACTCTTACCGTAGCTCGTGTTTCAGACGAGTCAGTTTGTCCTGCAGACGTTCATTTTTCACTTGTGTGGGATTATCTGGGACGAACCAGGCTGCTATAAACTTACACATCACTAAAACATGCTGGAGAAACACAAGAGAATATGCAGGTGGATATTTCAGTGTTAGAAACAACCCAGTGTGAGCCACATGTGAGGAACAAACCTCAAAGAGGATGATGAAGGCAAAGCGCACAGCCAAGACCATCCAGAACTGAGACTTCAGCGAGTAGTCGTTCTCGTTCCTGTAGTCTCTGTAGCTGCACATTAACAGTCCTGTTAATCACGTCTGTGACTCGTATATTTACACCCAGCTTGTGTTAAAACATAATATCTGTTATGTTTAACCTCGTGTGAAGCACTTTGGTTGTAAATGTGCCATATAAATAAAGTTCTCACCTGCACTCTGTGACGCTGAAGTTGTGCCTTTCCCAGGGATTTATGAATGCATCGAAGTTTGAACTATTCATATACGCTGTTGACAGCGTGTCCTTAATGTAGCCCTCCATGCAGCTGCAACAAGAGCACGAAACACATGAGACCACACAGACACCATCGCACATCTTCACACGTACCAGAAGTCTGACTGACTCGATGTAGTCGAGCTTTCCCTTAGCGCACGGGCCATAGTGGTAACGATAGACAAGCCGAGGAATAAAGTCCGACGTGATTCCAATAACCAGACCGTTAGCGATCACTGCCAGCACGCCGATGGCCTCCAGCAGCTTGGTCCACACACCTGCAGACATATTAAACACACATTATATAACATTTAATCACTTATAATGGACATCAGTGAGTTTAATCCAGCTCTTGATATCTTATTGCTATAAAAAAAACATGAAACTTTGAATTATAGATCAGTTTATATTTGGAAAACGACCAACTGGCTTTATTGGATTCTAACCAGACGAGCTTGTTTCAGGCACAGCTGCACTTATAATATAAAACTGGCTGTAAGTCTCTAATGGTTAATGCAGTAGTTCTGTTGAATCCTTGAAACGTTAAAGTCTGCACTGTGGTGCTGTACCGTCTCATGGTATAAACCCTGAAGCACCTAACTCCATACGAAATGCCGCACAGCTCACCGATGTCATTCGTCTTCTTGGGTACCAGCCGTTGCTCCAGGCGGACCATTTTGATAGCATCCAGACGGATCTCAAAGATGTTGTTGATGAGTGCTAGAAGGGGTGCGAG